AACACATGCATGAAAGAAAAAAACATTAAAATACATATCTAAGGGTTCATTTTCCTGACATCACATTATCTGACCTTTTCCGCTTGACTCATACACACACTAGATATTGCAAATAAGGGAAACCACAGGACCTATGTTTCTTTGGCCCTGGCTTACTTCACTTAATATAATGTTTATGGACACTGTTCTTAATAACTACATACTGAAGTATTTAGTTACTGAAGAAGTGATGTTTGCATCTTATTTCAAATACTGGGGAAAATAGACAAATAGATGAGAAGAATGATAAGGCAAGTGAGGCAAAAAAGAAAGTAATTGGTGGGTCTGGTTAAATAAATGGTTTGTAGGAGTTGTTATTTGCCAAAATAAAAAGTTACTGTTAATCCCAGAAAGTTTTAGTAATTATGAAATTATCTCAAAATAAAAAGTTACCAGAAATAACACTTTAGAGCTAGATCTGGTGGCTCACATCTCTAATCCTACTCAGGATGTGGCTGATGGGAGAAATGCAGTTGAAGGCCAGCCTGTGCAAAAAGTTCATCAGACCTGCATCTCAACCAATAAATGCTAAACATAGTGGTGAGTGCTTGTCATCCCAGCTATGTAGAAAGCATAAATAGGAAGATAACTGTGAAGGACTGGCCAGATATAAACATAATACCCTATTCAAAAACTAAGACACAAAAAGGGCCAAAAGTATAACACTTTTTGAGGGCCCTAAGTTCAAGTCCCAGTATCACAAAAAGAAAATAAAAACTTTTTTTTAAAATGCTTTGAGCAGAGCTCTGGTGGCTCACACATAAATCCTACCAACTCATGAGACTGAGATCTGAGGATCACATTTCAAAGCCTCCCTGGACAGGAAAGTTCATGAGATTCCTGAGCTCTCAAGAGGTGAGTGCTAGGCTTCGCGGGGGAGGGGGAGGGGAGTAAGCTCAGGTATAGCAGGACTCACAACAACAAAAAAATTGTTTTAAAATAAAGCCCAACCTAACATATTAACCCCATCTAATCAATCAAGAAGGCTCATTGCTAGTGAAAAATCAAAAGATTTTTAAGTAGTCAGGCTGGGAAGGTGGCTCAGTGGTAGAGTGCTTGCCTTGCATGCCTGAGGCCCTGGGTTCGATTCCTCAGCACCACATATGCAAAAAGAAAAAAGCCGGAAGTGGCGGTGTGGCTCAAGTGGTAGAGCACTAGCCTTGAGCTGAAGAGCTGAGGGACAGCACCCAGGCCCAGAGTTTAGGCCCCATGACCAGACCCAAAAAAAAAAAAAAAGAAAAGATTTTTTAAGTAGCACTTCTGTGTGTGA